CGAGCCATTTGAATTCACATCTTCATTTACCAGTTTTGCAATTTTTTTGGAAAAAATGCTCATTACTCATCCTATTCACATACATTTTTCATAATATTTCATACTTTGTTTCTACCAGCCTCTCTTCGTTCGCTTACGTAATTTGGTGCTATATCGTTACGCCTGCATTGAGAACTGATCATGTAATCATGCTGTTCAACGGCATCACTCATGCGACGTCGCGCACGCGGCAATTAGCGGCAACGCGGCGTAGCGCGCGCGAACTCTGCTGTGCGTTGAGGTTTGTGAAAACTATTTCCCAATGAGTTAGATGTATAAGCATGATTCGACCTTCTGCTTGCACTTGGAATCTTCTTCCGGGGCTCCGCCCCGGATCCCGCAAAAAACGGTATCCCCTTTGCTTTTTGGCCCCAAAACGATTTCCAGCTTGTCATTTGCCCACCTCGTGCCGGGCCCTGTTTCAAGCATGTCGTTAGGAGTCTTATAGTAAGTTTTTTTAGCATCTCTCTTCCGAAAAATCCAAAAATTGTCCTAAATGTTGCTATTTTATTTCCTATCTCTCCTAAATGGCGAAAAAAATTTCGTATGCTCGGTTCAAGCTCTTGATGAGAGTTTATCTAGTTATACACAAATGAAACCAAGTAATTTGCGGAAACTCATATTTCGTATAGGTCACATGCAGAAACTCGGGAAGAGGGCAAGGAGGCTAATTTAGCAACAAAATTTCCAAGAGTAAATAGGAAATGCGGAGTCTGAGAGCAATGCTGCATCGACAGTCTGAACAATTTTTGCACTTAGAACAATGCGAAATTTCCAAAAAATACTGAACAATTGCATAAAAATAAAAGCCTTTCTGTAGATTCGTCGATATGCAGAACAAAGAGCGAAAAGTACCCCGCAGTCGACTACGAGTAAGTTATAAAAATTCGATTTCCTCCTAAATTAGCTTGGAATAATTGTGTTTCAGGTACTACACGTGCGGAAATGATTCTGACATATTTTACAATTTCAACGTTTGCACTGAGGCCTGCAAAGGTTAGTTCATTCGGACAATTTTCGACGTAACTTGGTAGGCTTTGCTTAATTTCCAAACTATAGAGTTGGTTTAAGCCTACTTTGGTAACAAATATTCTGAGCAGAACTTGGCAGCTGCTCCACATTAAAGGACAGCGCTGCGCAACGTCAGGGTCATCCCAAGCAATTCCTTGAAGCTAAAAATTTTCTAAAAACTAGCGCTCAAACTGCAAAATTCTCTTCGACAAAAAAATTTCTGGGGTTACAAGTAATGTTACTCCTAAGCTATCGTAATATCTTTCCAAAGTGCCTTTATCATGGCTCTCAAAAAAATAGTTGACAGGTTACAGTTTGAATGTTGTTCACAGTAAACGATCAGTTCCACACACAGGCACTTTTTTCTTTTTTAGGTCCTCCTTTTCTGTAATCCAGGCAATGTACCATCAATACTGAAATGAAATTGCAAGCTCAATATCAGAGGACCGAAAATCATTCTCATAGACAATTATAAATAAGCGATCTCACATCGATGAATGCTAGATCTGTGGAAAATCTCGTTTTTTCCCCAAGAAACTCCAACCTGGATCTGTAACTGCCGTGCCGGGCTCTCTTTCGTTAAAACGTCTTTTTTTTATGGGGATGACCACAGAATTTGGCCATGTGACGCCTACACTACATAGACATAAAATTCCGTCTAGTGTAAAGAGCCTTCAAAATTAATAAATTCATAAGAAAAGAATCTTCTACTTCGAGTCGTCTATTTCTTGTAACTTGCTTATATTCTGACATATAACCCGTCAACTTATTATTTGATTTGAAAACTTTTCGAATTTTTTTCGCTTTTTTCTAACGATTATGTTGTGAAAAACCTATCAAAAGATTACTACAATCAAACTTCAGACGGATACTGCACTTGGTTTACCGAATTTTACCCTGAAATAAAACTAGAGTGAGTTTATTGCCAAGAAATATTATCTTGTGGCTGTTTCAAGGAATTATGATGTTTACATTTAGCTTCTTCGTATGCAAACATGATGAAAGTGAAGTTTTCGAAACGCATGAAGAGTGTCTCGAATATTGTCAAGGTTAGTTCAAGGAGATCATTCAATTATTGAAACCTTTTTTATTCTAAGTTATTTTGCAAAAGAAATGAAAGAGGACATTAACCCAAGGTGAACATGGAAAGCTTTACCCAGAACTTTGTTTGAACTGGCTGGAACGGTTCTTATAAAACATAAACGCTTTGCAAAAAAGTTACTTGACTGAATTGTATAGACTCACTACTTACAGGTACATCACCAGCTACAGTAACCACAACTTCGACAGAAACATCTTCTTCAGCAATTGCGTCAGCATCAACGACATCAGTGCCAGGTGTGCTCTGAAATTAGGAAAAGGCAGTGAAAGAATTGAGAGCATGCTAAGCCTTCTTAAAACAGTTCATATTTATTGAAAGAAAGTTTCAGGCTGGCAACTGTGCATCGAAGAGCCGGAGCCACACACTCATGTGCTGTAAGTGGCACTTGATCTAGATGTACAAATAACCTATCAAAAATCACTGTTTATTCATTTCAAGGCAATGGCTATGCTTGAGTGATGGATATCATTATGGAACGTTTGAATTCTGTGTGTATTTCTGTCCAGGAGGTTGGTGTCGAAGCTTTTTTGACTTTCTCAGGACTTAAAGGCAGTGTCCGGGCAAAATTCGATTTTGAGATTTTGTGTTTATTCGGGCCTATTCGCTACGCTGATTCCGAAAATGCGCATTAGAGAGCGCGAAAACGGCGAAAAGTGGCTCTAACATAGGAGGGAAATCAGCAGGTGGGCGGGTCCTCCCTACTGTGAATTCACGCTCCCAGCTTCCGGAGCGATCTTCTCGATTCCGGTTTCGTGTCAATCATTCGCACTTGGCCGGTAGCGATGATAGGGGGGCTAGCGGAATCGAGAAGACCGCTCCGGAAGCCGGGAGCGTGAATTCACAGCGTGGAGGGCCCAGCCCACTTGCTGTTTCCCTCCTGCGCTAGAGCCCTTTTTTGCCGTTTTCGCGTTTTCCGGTGTGGATTTTCGGATTCAGCATGGCGATTAGGTCCGTATAGGCACAAAATCTCAAATCGAGTTTTTGCCCGGACACTGCCTTTGAGCGGCCAGGCTAAGTTAATAGGATATGAGAAGTCATTTTAACAATTGGCTGATGAGCTGCAATTTGGTGTTTTCATACAGTTTTTTTTATGAATTCAATGGATCAAAAGTCTGTCGTTTGCGAAAAATAGCAAACTTAAAATGAGTGAAAACGACCTCGAAAGCGCCTGACAAAAGCTTTCAAAATTCTTCTAAGCTGAAAAAATTTGAGGATGCTTACATTTACTATTTAATTTCGCCAAGAGTCGAATTATCACCGTCAAACCAAAATCATACGTGTGCTACAAAATGCTCATTCGTCTGGCAAATGCCCTTCAAGCCCTCGTTTTCTATATCGAAAGTTTCCTCCAAAATTCACATTTTAATAATACCACTATCTTAATTAATCAGGGAAATCAGGAAAGGTAAAGTTCAGTCACGACCGTATTTGTTAAAGGGTGCAACGAATCTTTCGTTGCAACTGTCAAAGATCATTTTGAAAATTAGCAGAGCAGGAAACAACTTCAAATTTTTGGGCCTGGGATACAATTTTCTTGCAATTTTGTTTTGTGCAGAAGGTTTGCTACCGACTTAAAAAAGCTCTGCTCAAAATTTTCACTGTACTCCAATGTCTGATTAGTGTTCAGATAATTTTCAGCATGCAATTGTAGGAGGAAAATCAAAAAATTCCGTAATTCTTACCAGAGCTTGGCACGGGGTGGTTTTTGGAGAACGCAAAAATCGAAGTCCCCTTGACTTTCGGAATTTTTACGAATTTCCCTTTGACCCTAAACCCTAAAAAAAACCTCGAAGACGAAACGTCAACTAAAAAACCCAATTTTTGCGTCTTGGCCTCAAAAATATCCAGCTTGCTTGCAAGCCATTCTGTGCCGAGGTCTGCTATCCAGATTGGCCCTTGCACAAAAAATAAAGGGCGCTCATTCGTTTTTCTGCTGGTTTCTTCTTCATTCTTGGGTTCCGTGCAAAAGTATTCTTGCAAGGCTAGAAAGAGGTGGTACCCAATGCTGATCGGCTTGAAAAAAATCCAGGTAAAAAAATAAGAGTTCTTTTTTCTCAGCAAGCAAGTTGTTACGAAATCATGATAAGCTGGGTGGACATATCTGTAAAATCTTTTCTGTAACAAATATTACAGCATATACAACACCCGAACAAGCATTAAGTTCGACAGAAAGCCCACCTAGGACAGCTTCACCGACAATAGCAGCGTCTGAGAAAGGTATGATATATGTTAAAGCTATCCCCCACATAAAGTCAATGTATTTTCAAAAATACAAAATTGCATGTAGCCATGAACATTAGTGTCTTCCACTTATATGAGCGTAAGGAAGTTTTTTTGGGAGAAATATCGTTTAGAGGATCAAAATAATCGGCTTTTTCTGTTTCAGGAGTTCGCAAAAAAAATTAAGGTCATCCTATAAGCTTGCTTGAATACCTCCACTGAATGAACGCATTTATACCGAGATTTGGTGAATCATACTTATCCGAACCTCACTGTTTTGTAGAGTAGTTTTGAGGAAAAAATTCTCCTTTTACTTTGGAAGTTGATGTTTACAAATTCATTGCTTTTGCACTCATTATACCCACTTATTCTCACTGAAATTTCACTGCACATAAAACTTGCCTAAAAAGCAGAGTACGAGGTATTGCAGCTAAAGATTGCTAATGTCGTTAATCTTTTTTAAACCAAGATCTCGCTCTTGATCAACCACATGACTTTCATCATTCAAGGAAACTTGTAGTAAAGGTGGACCTTTAAGTAATCTAATAAGGGTCACTCAAAAATTGAGATTACTTCAAGTCAAACCGCTATCCGGGCTCATTGAGGGAAAAAGTGCACATGCATACATATGAAAGAGGTTGTGAGCGTTCACAAACTCCACAATTTTACAGCTACTACACCTATACCAACCGAAAGTACAGTTGCTTCTGAAAGCTCGTCTCCCACAACCACAGCCACCACATCTACAGCATCGACGTCTACTATAGCGGAAGGTCAGTTGCAAATCTCGCTTACTTCAAATTCGTCCTGGAAAGAACGCGAGAACTTACAGGAACGTCAGCGACACAAACGACATTCGAAGAGGGAGCAACAACTGCAGACATTTTCAGTCTGCCTACATTAGGTGAGTACCCATCATATTTACATGGATTTCCGGTTTTGGTCGCTGGGAAATTCCCAAATTCCCTCAAGTCCAACACTCGCAAACCACTACGTACAGTACGTACTCCACTACGTACTGTAGTGTGTATAACCTACGCAGATTAATGAAAAGCTTTGTATCTGGTACATCTAGAATGCACTTACTACTGTAACTCTTGGATTTTGTCAAATCGCATGGAGCGTGCTCGGGACCTAAAGCTTCATGATTTCCACTTTGTTGCGAGTGCGGTATCCAGAAGCCAAATTTTAATAGATGGTCATTCGCGATAGAGCTTTTTATTTTAGCGAAAAAAGTGAAAATTTCCGGCAAATGCGGGCGAATACATTGCGAAATTGAGATATGCACTTTTGTTGATACACGCTTAGATTTCAAATAATCTGGCAATATTCAAAATTGCTTGCAATTTATGGACATATCAAAATACGAAGGTTATAAACGCTTTGTGATTTGCATAAGCCAGAAAATGGCGTTTTAATACTTAATCTGTCTGGCGGGCGGTGAGAACCACAAATTTCTCATTATTATTCGGACATCAAATCCGTCAAATCAAATCAAACCTTTCCCATTTCGTATGGCTTTTCGCTTTGAAACATAATCATTCGTTTTGAAGGATTGTAAGTGTGTAACTGGAAAGAAAATATTGGCTACAGGATTTCGTGAAGAAATTCAGGCTTGTTTTTCAAAAAAACATTTCGTGGGCAAAGCTAAATCTATGCACGAGAGTAACCACCACTGCATAATTCTTAAAAATGACCTCGGAGCAAAATTTTTCCACACTTGTGCACTGTACCATCAGATCTCTCAGAGAGAGAGCTACAACAATTAAGAGCGTCGCAAGGAATTGTGTGTCCTCCTTATCTCTTAAATAAAAAATGAACAAATGAATGAAATTTACCTCTTGCTACTACATTGCTTGAAATCATCATTGGTAGCCGAAACTACATTTTTTTTTAGATTGGCAATTTCCAACTGATTCTCCGGATGTTACAGACCCCTGCAAAGATCTCAAGTAGGTTGCCAAGTAGTTTATGATTTCATTTGTGTTGATACCGCTAAATGCTGCTCCCTGCACTTGCCAAATAGTTTATGATTTCATATGTGTTGATACCGCTAAATGCTGCCCTACACTATCTTTTTTGATTTTATGGGAAATTTTGAAAAAAACTTATCAAAGATTGTTTTCTGGAGATTCGTCGAAAGTGCAAAGATTGTAGAAGAAACTTCGTGAGATTCCGCTGTTTGTTACGTCTTTACAACGATCTTATAGTAAAAAGCAATTTATAAAATGTGCTTTGTGAAAGTTTACAATTCTGTTACAGTGAATTCGAACCTTGCGTGAGTAATCCTCCCTCGACTCGCCCTCCGAAGTTAAAGGACGACGAACAACAGGAGCTAGTAACACTTATACCTTGGGGAAAAGGATCCAAGTGGTCCTACCCAGATGATGGAGGCCAGCGGAAAGTGTGGCCGATTCCACCAAAGAAGAAAGGAGAATCAATCAAGGAGCCAAACTCTGTTTATGAAGAAGAGGAAAAAGTAGTGTCTCCACAAAGGAAAGGTGAATGGGTGGACCCAGTGAAAGGTGAATGGGCAGATCCTTATGGTCAGCAGAACGGGCTTTTACCACCCCTGTTAACAAAAGGACATGATTCGGAAGGAAAAGCGAAAAAAGCGTAAATCAAGGGCTTTGGGTTTTTTGTATTATCAGTAGGATAGGATTTTTCATTGGTTGTTAGTTTAGCATATTCGGAAGTTGTCAACTTGCGTAATAAATTTTTTCTGTAAAAGTGTATGACAAAAGACATTAATAACAATATTTTTGATGAAGGACAGGCTTCAAAACTATCTATGAAACGTCTTGTAGCTTCATTACATTACTCTTACTGAACATTGCAAAGCTCAAGCTGTAAAGAAAGAAACGCTGAGAACAGTGGCAAAAAACTGACGATTTTTTGGATAGATATGTCTATCACAATACGTATTGCCTGACATCCTCATTTGCCGCATGGAAAAGACTATGAGTACTTGATGAAAATCTGTTCAATTTTAAACTGATAGAAATTCGCAATTCACATTAAGTATAAGATGAGGAGAAAATTTCACCAGAGAGTTTTACGAAGATACAATAAAACAGGGTACGAGTATCTACGGCATTTCATACTCCCACCACCCTTACAGTACGATAGCGCGGAGAAGTCGTCACGGCAGTTTAACGGAAAGCTAAATACCAGTCCAGGCTATGGATATGGTCACTGTTAGGGCTTCGTGCAGTTAATACCTCCATCTAGTGCACTTATGCTAGCGATTACTCCATTTAAGCACCAGAAAGTCCTCAACACTTGTTTTTGCCTAAGTCAAAACCTTGAATTCTTGCCCAAAAAATTCTCATACTCCCCCCCCATAACCTCTTGCAGATATCGACAGCAGATTTTAGGTCACCGTTTTATGCTCTATAAGACAGTAAACCGAGTATCCTTCCCTTGTCAGTGGAATATCTTATCCAAATTTATCCAAAATTCCTGTCAGACACAAAAATATGCAGAGTGTTTCTAATATGTAAGTGCTGCTAGTATTAACCATAACTACTCATAAAAATCCACATTATGTCCGAAGGGACTGGGTTCGCATGTCTTTGTTTCACGATTGGGTTCGTGAACCCAGTACTTGAACCACAGGATCTGGGTAACTTGGTGAATAACGGTAAGCTTGAGTTTTGGGTTCGTTCGTGAATACCGGTTGAGTTGGCTTTTGTGGGTTCCGCAGCTCACTGGGTAGGCTTAACCCAATAAGTTCCGGAATCCACCATTGGGTTCGCTGATAAAACGTTGTCTTTTTCGACTTTTCCAAGGGTTTCGACGAGGTTAACCACTCCATATTACTCTCTAAGCTTATTATTAGTCAAATATGATGGATAAGCGACTACTTCAGTGGCTCTCATTTTACCTATATAATAGAGGTATGACCATGCGAGTCGGTATTAGCTTTTTAGAGCGTTTTCACTGCAGACCAGTGTATTGCAACGTGGCATACTCTCTTCTCCTCTTTCTCACATATACAGCAGAATTGCCCCCACTTTTGAAGACGCATCCAAATATCCCCTCGTAGCGAAAGGCTTCCGGCGTATCTTCACTGGATGGTGGACCTGAAAAGCTTCGGAAAAAGTTCATTTTCGCCATTTTCATGCATTGAAAAGCCCAGATATGGGCACAAGTGCAAAATTTTTTTCCGGGGCTCCGCACTGGACCCGCAAAACGATATCCCCTTTGCTTTTTGCTCCAAAAACGAATTCCAGCCTGCTTCTAGACGATGTGTGCCGGGCCCTGATTCGGAACAGTAAAAGTTCTTAAAAATGTTTATCGAACATGCTTTATAGCCAAAATCTCACATAAAATTTCAGGAAAAAGTAGTGACAGCGTGCAAATTGTTAAAATTGTCAGCCAATAAACAAGCTCAATATAATAGACTCATTTTGCGCAAATTGATGACTTAGTGTCCTTAACTCTACGTCAAAAATCATCAGTGAGCTCTTGTGTTGTTAGAATGTTTAAAGGTAGTGTCCCGGCAGATTTCTGATCTTTTTGCAGGTTTTGGACCTTTCTGATCCGTAGATCATCACGAATTTGAGCTTTGAAATGGGTGAAGAAACCCTTTTCGGGGCATTTACCCAATCTCCAAAAGGCAGCTCGGACGAAAATCTCAATAGAAAGTTAGGAGGCCCTGGCACGAAGACCGTGCTGACTGTAATTTTTGCTTTGGACAGCATGCACGATGCGGGAGAGCGGCCGTGGGGTTCTGCTCCGAACGGTAAGCGAAGTCGTACGAGCGCGCGCCGGTTCAAGGGCTATTTTCCTAGCGAACATCAACCAACCGGACTGCGCCTGGAGGTCAATGAAACAACTAGGAACCCCATTATAGCAATATTCGGCGCGAATCTGCCGGGACACTGCCTTCAATCATGAAGCAGTGTTATTTGTCATTATTTGGCACGTAAACATATAAAACCACATAAAAATTATACTCCCATATAAATCCTCATATAAAAATTATAAAGCGTTTAAATAATCTATGCATTCAGCATTCCAGTTTCTTGTTTATATGCACCAGTAAACAACATCACATTTCTAATTTTGTCAAAACTAGAGTAGCTGTAGAAAACTGTTTATTATGAGTTTAGGGCCACGGGTATAGTACATGCGACATCTCCTCGTAATTTTCCAAAAAACAACTGTCACGAGCCCATTACATGCCAATCCTCTTGCATTTCGGTTGTGACAGTTTTTCAACATGACCAATTGTGATTAACTATTACATTCGAATTACAAGGTGATCGACAGACAATGGGCTTATAACAATTGTCTTGGCGGAAGAAATTGCGTGAAATATGTCGGTGCCCCACACCTTACAAAAGCGCAAGCGGCTTACCGAAAGAACTTTCAGGAAACGTTGTTGAAGCTGCCTCTTCTTGCTACAATAGTTACGGAAACTTTCTCTTGCATCCCTTCTCCCTCCTCTCTCAACCCACGTATTATTCCAAATTTCATGCTCATGATTTGGGGAAGCAGTCGCACCTCTAGAAGTGTTTTTAAAGCTAATTTTTTTCAAGAAAAAAAGGCAGATCAGCTGTTTACAAGTAAATGACTTTTATTGATCATGTAGCCTTTCTTATTTTTCTCATCAGTAATTCGTGTGAGAGAAAGCAAAGAATTTATTTGAAATTTCACTTCTTTTTGCAATGATGCTTGTCAAGGAGTAGAACATGAGTAAAGTCACCCACCGCTCCTTTTGAGAGAACATTATTCTACCGCATTTCTTAGAAGAAAAGCAAAGCAGCTTTGCTGGAACATAGTGGTGACAACAACAACGTTAATGACAATTTGGTCTATAGGACTGATACCCAGCATTTTGGTTAAATGGCAACTACTGGTTTGATGAAATAGAAGTCAAGGTGTAGCAATCAAGTTAATACTCATTCATTTAATGTTTTTTTTGCAGAAAACACCAAGAAGTTGTGGCTTGTGAACAAATTTTTCCTGTTCAAGTTGTTACCAACAGTAATTATTATCTTTGACAAGCTGTTTGCTAAACATCATCAAATGTATCGTCTCCAAAAGAAAGGAGTGGGCGACAAAATTTGTGAACCTTTATTCCTGACATTACTCTTTGAACTCTCTCGCTATCCCATGCGATAAATTTCATCAAATAATGCATATACTGTTTTAATGCCGTCTTTGCAGCGCATTCCTTCTCTTCTTTTTGCATTTCTGCATTGAAGTAGCTATAACTCGTTTCGCCCCAATCGTGAAACAAAACCGTTGAAGTTTTTTGGCCTTTTTCCCTTTGCCTTTCTTGATCCTGAAAAAATTACATTTGATATAACAATCATGATACCTTATGTGGGGCTGATTAGGAAAAGGTAGTGATATAGGTGAACATCGTTTAGGCAAAGTTGGCCAAGAGGTTAATGCTTTAACCACGGCAAAGAGATAGAAATCGAGTATGTTCTGCGGCAGGCTTAATTTCTTTTCTAGAAAAACTCTGCCTACGAATTCAGCGTCAGGCTGCTCAAACAAAGGAAGCCATCGACAAGAGGGCTGAAAAGACAACTTGTCCGCTCCTCAAAGGCGGGGCTTGACGAGAGCGAGCAATATGCTAAGCTTACCGCCTCAACATGCGTAGATGGCTAGAAAAGCTGGCTCACCAAAGCACGGTTTCATTAAAGACTAACAACAACTCTCATTGTGGAATCCCTCACAGCACGACATCGCAAAGTGGCACACATCTACAAGGGTAAGGAAACGTCGCCTGCATTCAGATCAAATGGAAAAAGAAGAGGCGAGGGGCATAGATAATTGCGCTGCAATCTGTAAATGCGAATGAGCAACAACAGAAATGATGTCGGCTAGTAGTTTCCAAAGCAGCGAGAGATAAGATGACTGTCGTGAATTGAGTAAGCGATCGTCTCATGAGCATAGGGATGGATATAGTCAAATCATTTCATATGATCATGTGTCCATTGCACACACCGTCCATATTTGGCGTCTTCATCCTGGATCTACTACCGCAAAACAGGAGACTGATTTTTATCGCCTTCATCGCTTTGAGACGATTAGTACCTAAGAAGGAGAGAGAACACTGAAAACACCTCAAAAACACTCACCTGAAGGGATTTCTGCTACAGAAGTCCAGGATGGGAACGCCAAAGATGGACAGTGTGTGCAGTGACACACATGATCAAATGGAATGATTCGACTACCGGGAAGGAGAAGCTACGTTTAGTGACAGCACACGCACCTCAAATCGAATGCAGAGAAGCTAATAGAGTTTTGGTAACAGCTTGACAATCACACTAAGTGATACCGAAGGAAGAGACGCTATTAACTGGTGCAAACCTCAACGGACAGTTGGTGTCGCAGGAACCACGGATTTGGAACGCGTAACGACAAGAGGAACGTATTCCGCAATTTGCCATTGCTCACGGCTTGGCATTCTTCAACCGGACACATCGTCCAAGACGCCATGGAAACCGTCGATCTCAAGTTTTCTGGATGCTGCCACAGCGTGAGCTCATAGTGAAGGAGAATTATCCCAGATAAAACTGCACAATCCAGCGCACCGCAAATTCCAGAGTTAGATTTTCTAATGAGAAGGAGAGCAGTGGAGGAGGGTGAGGTGCACAA